TGCTTAAATTTGAAATTCATGACTAAGCATTAAATGTATAATAAAAATGAGTTTAGGGGGTGCCTGGGTGGCTCAGTTGGTTAAGTGACTGCCTTCGGCTCAGTTCATGATCCTGGAGTCCTGGGATCGAGTCCAGCATCCAGCTCCCTGCTCAGCGGGGAGCCTGCTTCTCCTTCTGATCTTTCCCCTCTCATGCTTTCTCTCCTTCTCTCTCTTTGAAATAAATAAATAAAATAAAACTAAATTCAAAAAACGAGTTATTGCTAAAGTAAGTTACCTCCATTCAAGGGACACACACAGCTGTTAAAAAAAATGGGGAGAATCTCTACATTTGAAAAACAGCAGAGAGGCTTAACGTGTTTGCTCTCAGGACCCCTCTATGGGCTTAAAAATGCCAAGGGGGGGCGGCCTGGGTGGCTCAGTGGGTTGAAGCCTCTGCCTTCAGCTCAGGTCATGATCCCAGGGTCCTTGGATTGAGCCCCTCATCCAGCTCTCTGCTCAGTGGGGAGCCTGCTTCTCCCTCTCTCTGTCTGCCTCTCTGCCTACTTGTGATCTCTGCCTGTCAAATAAATAAATAAAATCTTTTAAAAAAAATGCCAAGGGACCTCCAAAAGCGTTTGTTTCTGCGTGTTATGTCTGTGGACACATAACGTATTCAAAATTCAAATGAGGGAGACTTAACAACCTGTATTAATTTCAGTAAAATAATAAAATCATTGAATGTTTATCTAGACAACTTATTTTAGTGAAAAATAATTGTATTTTCCCAAGTGCACACAAAAATACAGTGGTGTTGGCTTATATTTTTGAGAATCTATACAGTGTTTGGTCTACCAGAAGAAAGTGGGGTTCTCATATCTCCTTCTGCATTCAGTTTATACTGATAGCACCCGTTGTGTGGATACAAAAAGACCCTGGACCCTATACACACATGAGAGACTGAAAGTGACAACGGCAGACCATATCTCAGTATTCTTGTAAAAGTGGTTTTGACCTCATGGACCCCTTCATCAGGTCTCAGGGGGGCCCCAGGGTCCCTGTGCCACACTTTGAGAACTACTAACATGTGTGGTATTATTCTGTAAATTAACTGAGCGGGTAATGTGGTGTAAGAATGGTGATAGTTGGGGCACCTGGCTGGTTCCGTCAGTAGATCGTGTGACTCTCAACCACAGGGCTTGGAGTTCAGGCTGAAGCTGCCTTTTTTTTTTTTAAGATTTTGTTTATTTATTTGACAGATCACAAGTAGGCAGAGAGGCAGGCGGGGGGCAGGGGGAGCAGGCTCCCTGCTGAGCAGAGAGCCCTATGCGGGGTGGGGCTCGATTCCAGGACCCTGGGAACATGACCTGAGCCGAAGGCAGAGGCTTAACCCACTGAGCCGCCAGGTGCCCCAAGCTGGAGCCTTCTTAAAACAAATAAAATGATGATAGGTAAACAGATGGAACCTTGTGGCTCAACATACTCAGAGTATACAGCTTAGTGGTTAAGTGCGATCAGTTCAGGAAACCCCCACGTTTCAAATCTTAGCTTGACCGTTTATAAGCTGTGGGACCAGGAAAAGGTTACTTTACCTCTCTGCACCTCCAGAATCTCATTTTATAAAAATGGGATGAAAAGAAAAGCACCAGCTTCCCTGGGTTATTGGATGCAAAGTGGCTGGCACATAGGAAGCAGTCAATAAATTATGCAATTAATTTATGCAAACTGTCATTATTAAGTGTCCTTGAAAAACAATAAGGTAGCATTATATAACTGATACTGAATACTCTTCGTAATACATGGCCGTGTGAAACTGGGAGGGGCAGAACTCTGTGTACACAATGATAAATGCTGTGTCAAAACGACCATGTATGCTCTACGTATTCAGCTGTGTGTGGATTTAAACGCGCGTGCCTGGGGGCTCCTGGGTGGCTCAGTGGGTTAAAGCCTCTGCCTTCGGCTCAGGTCATGATCCCAGGGTCCTGGGATTGAGCCCCGCATCAGGCTCCCTGCTCAGCAGGAAATCTGCTTGTCCCTCTGCTCCTCCCCCAACTTGTTCCTTCTCATTCTCTGTCTCTCTCTCAAATAAATAAATTAATTTACAAATAAATAAAGATAAAGAAATCTTTAATCTTTTAAGATCCCATTCCATTTTCAAAAATGTAAAAAACAAAACAACCAAACCAAACGAAAACAAAAATCTTGGTCAGTTCTTTTTTTTTTAAAAAGAACTTAAACTTTAGGACATTAGGTTGTTAAGTTTTGGACAAAATGAGCAAATATCCAGCAAACATCCGGCACTTGCTCCAAAACTGCCATTTCTGCAGACAAGACAGACAGCACCAATCGACACGGATGGCAGACAGCACCAATCAACCCAACCAATGGGGACATCCCTTCCCACTGAGCAGACAGATATTCAAAATCCCTCTCCACACCATGTTCCAGGCAGCCGGTAGGAATTAATTCCTCTTGACAAAGGAGCTGAAACCTCTTTGCCAACCCAGATCTCAAACATGACCTCCAGAAATTCCTGAAACCATTGGAAATGACTCAGAATATTTCCCTCAGGGAATCTGATCCTGCTGAATCGTCTTCTTCCCTGCTAACCTGCCCCCACCACTCTCCCTGTTCCAGAGGGATTTGGAGTCCTTCTGCCCATCCCCCCTCCTTTTTACAGAAAAAGAAACTGAAGCCCCAGATATTAAAAGACTTCTCAAGGTCACAGGATGAGTTTGCATCGAAGTCATGGTAGTGAAATAGAGTGACTTGAGAGAGGTGGTTCTGGGATCAGACAGGCCTGGGAGAAATTTCTCGCTGGCATCTTACCAGCTGGGTGATCTTATCTCCGGTGTGCTGGTTTCTTCCTCTACAAAATGGGGCTGTTTGCAATGTCTAGTTCCAAGAGGTTTGGGAGAATCCAACGAGCGTGGCCTTGATTGTGGGAGCTGTCCTGATCGCCCCCAAGAGCCTAAGTCCCAACAAGGCAAAGAGCCGAAGGGCTAGCGCTGTTTCCTTTCCAACACACTTCAAGGAGAAGCTTGTTAAACATCCAGGCTGTTTGCAGCCCCTCCGTGGAGTAGGTGAGATGACAGATCTCAGGGCCGGCTCGGAAGCCTCAGACAGGGGCTGCGGGCAACGTCTCGTGAGATCACGTTGGGGAGGAACGTGTGCATCCCACAGTAGGGGCGCAACAAATGCAGCCATGGTTTCCCAACAGAGCATTGGGAGAGCCCGCTGCTCCCCGTGGGAGCGCAGGGAAGCTGAGGCTTGGGCACCAGATGCCCGCCAGGGCCCTATCTGCAAAATGACTTCAGGAAATTCAACATGTGGGCTTGGGGAGAAAACCCGATGAAGCAATAAATGTAGAAGGCAGGCGAGCGAGAGTAACAGTACTCTAAGTGGTCATGGTGACACCAAGAGTTAATTTTTATAGATCCTGATGGGTGTCGTTTGCTGTCCTACACGCTTTACACGCAGTGAATTATAAAGTGCTGCTGTTAATAATGAGGATGATTAAGCAACTCAACAAAGATCATCCTAACCTTGTTCTGCGGGACTCAGAGGCCCCCACCCTGGGAGCAGAGACCAGGACCCAGACCCTGTATCCGATCTCCTCCCCCTCGGCAGGCGGAGACGTGTTTGAAATAAAGTTTATTGAAGTTTCTGTCGGTATTTACATATGATACACGGCAAATAACAGAGCCAGGCCCCCCCCACCCCTTCCCCACCCCCAAACCCCCCTCCCCCCAGCCTCGTTAAAAATCGCTGCGTAAAGACAGGTTAACTGCTGCGGTCCCCCTCCCCCCTCCCACCTAAGATGCAAACTAAAAGCCCCCGTCCCTCCCCTGCCCCCCTCCCCCCACCCCGGGGGCCTTTCTGGTTCCGTGTACAATACTGTGCTACCTCGCCCCCGCCCCCCTAACGGGGGGAAGGGCGAGTCTCTGGTGACCCCCCCAAATCTGTCCAAGGGGGCAGACGGACCCTTGAAAGAGGCCAGAGTTGGGGGGTCTGAGATGGGAAGAGGGACTTCAATGAGGGGGAGTGCCAGAAAATGGAAGACTTCGAGGTTTGGGGGGTTTCGACCCCCGCTACTGCCTCTCCCTCCCCCGACGGGGCCTCGAGGGGGAAGAGGCCGGCACAGGTGTGGAAATGGCACGGAGGAATTCCCTCCACCCTAGGGTCTCCAGCCCTGTCGTGTGGCGTGCGGGGCTAGATGCACCTAGGGGCTTTGGGTGAGCGGAAGGACGGAGGAAGGGAGACAGAGCTCGAGGAAGAGAAAGAAAAAGAAGCCAAGGGCAGCTGAGAAAGCAAAGAGATCCTTCCGACGGCGCCCCCGGAAAGGCAGGTGACCTTCAGGAGGCCGAGAAGAGCCCAGCTGGTGAGGAAGAACGGGACCTCCCAGTGGAGCCGAGAACTGAGTTGGGGGAGGGGGGACACCGGGTTGAGTACGCCCCGGCCTCCAGCCTCCCACCCCAACCCGCAGCTGCGGGCGCAGCAAGAAGACGGCTCGCCGCACCCGCGGGCCCAGAAGATCCGGAGATGAGATTGGGCGGGGAAATAGAGAAGTCGGGGCCGAGGCGAGAAGAGGCTGGTGGGCATTCCAGGCGGCTGCCCAACCTACTCTCCAGTCCAGCGCCCCTGCCGCGAGCCGGCAGGCTGCGGGGCTCAGGGTGGGTGGGCGCCTGCACCGCTGGCCCCCCGCGTGCAGTGCGCGGGGCAGGGAAATCCGCCGCCCGGAACTGGAGGGGAGGGGAGGGCCAGAGGGAGGGGGCGGGACCAGGGAGAAAGGGGGGGCCGTCTGCGAGTGGCTGGGACCGAGGAGGTCGAGAGACCCCGAAGGGGGGAGGAGCCCTTGGAAAGTATAAGGGACCAGCACGGAGGCGCGGGGCCACCGAGAAGAGGGCGGGGCTAAAGCGTGCGCAGCATCCTTGGGAGGGGGGGCAGGGTCCTGAAGTCCCGAGGGAGGGAGCCGAGCCCTGGAGCCCCGAGACCCCCAAGGGCGGAGGTGGAGCAGGAGGAGGAGGAGGGGAAGGAGAAGGGAGAGCCGAGGGGCGGGCCTCAGCAGGGCGAGGTGGAGATGTGCAGGTGGTCTGGGTACTTGATGGCGGGAGGGTAGTTCTGCGTCATCTGGATGGAGACGTCGCTGGAGATGTCGGAGGGGCTGCGGCCGCGGCGCCACGCCTCGGGCTGCAGAAACTGGCCCGAGTAGTCGGAGCAGTCGCTGAGGCGCGGGCGGTAGAAGGCCGGGTGCGGGCGGTACATCTCCTCCTCCGCATAGCGCTTGGTGAACAAGTACACGGACATCACGCCGGCCCCCTGTGGCAATGCAGGGTCAGGGTCCCAGAGGCCGGCCCCGAGCTCCCAAGGACCCCAAGACTCCAGACCCACCCCCCAGACCCTCCTCCCTCATTCCCTGGAGTCCAAAAGCCCAGCCCCCTCCTCCCTCAGACCAGGAGTCCAGACCCTCAGCCCCTCCTCCCTCAGACCCAGGAGTGAGCCCAGGCCCCCAGCCCCTCCCCCACACCAGGACCCCAGAAGTTGGGAGCTGCCAGACCCCTCCTCCAGGACCAGGGGTTAGGTCCTCAGTCACCACCTCCCTTTTAAATCCAGAGTCTATACCCCCAGTTTCCTCTTCCTCCTGGGTCCAGGAATGAGCCTCCCTCCCCCAGACCCGTCTCCATTCCTGTCTGGGCCCCACAGACATCACCTCTTTGAGGAGGAAGGAGGAAGCCGCAAAGGCAAAAGACCACCCGTAGCGATAGTGGAAATACTGCTCAGAGCTGCTGGGCCTGTTCATGACCTCGTCGTTGATGCTGGAAATGTAGAGAACCAAGCCCACCACCAAGGAGAGCCCTGGGGAGCAGAGGGCGCCCTTAGTATCTTAACGGAGGGTCCCTCTCTCCAGCCCCAGCCCCTCCCCCATCTCACCACCATCCCCTCCCCTTTCCTCTCTGCTCAGTCCTGAACTAAATCCATTTTTTGAAACCTTTTGTGTGCTGGGCCTTGGCCGGCTGCAGGGATTCCAGAGATGAATGAACTTTCTCTTCCCTCCTCCCCTAATCTACAGTCCAGGAGTTCACAGGCAATTGGGGAAAGCAACTAGGGACACTGGTGGGTAGTCACATAAATGGTGATATGCGCAGTCAGGGAAGTAGCAGCACAGAGTCCTGTGGGTCCAGGAGAGACACCAACCCACCTAGGGGACAGGCAGGGATGGTGGGGGTGGTGCAGGGGAAGTCAAGGAAAGCTTCCTGGAAGAAGGGCCTTTGCCCAAGTCCTAAAGGATGAGGCCTGGGGAGAAGAGTACACAGTTACACCACTCTAGCCAGAGGGAACAGCGTGGCCAAAGGGTTGGAGAGGGAGCACCGAACTGATCCATCCATATAGCCAAAACAGCGGCCCCAGCCACAAAATATGAGGCCAGAGAAAGGGGCAAAGACACGGCCATAATGGGCCTCAAATGCCAAGCTGTGGAGCTTGGCATCGATGCCAAGGGCACTAGGGAGCCATGGAAGGTCTGGAGCAGAGGAAGGGCAGGTTCAGTTCAGAGTGTTAGAAGAACCCTTGCAGGATGGTTGGCTCTGGGAAGAGACTGAAGAGAGAGACTAGTTGTGACATGCCAAGGGGACGAGGATGAGGCCCGAGTTGAAACTGTGTGGATAGTAATAGCCACGACATCAGTAATAATATTAATAAAACAATAGCAACTGCTCATGTAGGTCTTGCCCTGCACTGGGCACAGTTCTCAGTGCTGTGTACATATCAACTTCTTCAAACCTCCCAGCCACCCCTCCACATGGGTATCATTTTTATCAACACTGACAGCTGAGGGAACAGAGGCACACAGAGAAGGTGCAGAGGAGATGCCTGCATTGAGAAATCATTACAAGGCAACTACCACTTCTTCAAGCTGAACCTCTTTTAAGCAGCAGCCATACCAAGTGTGGCTTAAGGAGGCGATCAGGTGTCCTACCCTAAATCAATCCAAGTCATCCCCATCGGCATCGTCCTCCAGAATCTGACAAATAAACACTGGTGAGCCCCTGGCAATCTGTATTCCTCCCGCTGCCTACAACGGGGGTCAGCCAACGACCGCCCATGGGCTCCATCCAGCCCACCCCCTGCCTTTGTATGGCCTGCGAGCTAAGAATGTCTTTTCTGTGATTAAACTGTCGGAAAAAAATCAAAAGAAGAGTGGTATTTTGTGGCATGTAAAAAGTATATGAGTTTCATTTGGCAGTTCCTCCAAGTGTTAAAGATAGAATTACCACATGACCCAGCGATTCCCCTGCTAGGTATCTCCACCCAAGAGAATAGGAAACATATGTTCGCACAAAAACTTTGCATGAATGTTTGTAGCAGCATTCTTCATAATAGCGGAAAAGTGGAAACAACCCAAGTGTCTATCAACTAAATGGATAAACAAAATGTGGGATAGCCGTATAAAGGAATATTATTCAGCCAAAAAAAGGAATGCAATACTGATTTATACTGCCACATGGATGAACTCGGAAAATAAGCTCAAAGAAAGAAGGCAGATACATAGCGTATGATTCCATTTATATGCCGTGTCGAAAATAGGCGAATCCGTAGAGAGAGAAAGTAGAATAGTGGTTGCCAAGGAGCGGGGTGGAGGGGAGATTCCCACTGGCTGTCACTAAAGGGTATGAGGTTTCTTGCTGGGGTGATGAAAATGTTGTGAAGTCAGGCCTTGGGGGTGGTCCCAGGACTTGGCAAATAGACCACAACCACTGAATTCTGTGAACTTCATGTTTTGTCCATTGTAGTATCTTGGTTTGCAAAGTATATGGATTCCTCATGTCAGGGTGTGTAAATAAAATGTTACTGGGGGCCCCTGGGGGGGCTCAGTCACTAGGTGTCTGTCTTCCTGCCTTCGGCTCAGGTCATGATCTCAGGGTCCTGGGAGGGAGCCCCAAGGTGGGCTCCCTGCTTGGCAGGAAGCTTGCTTCTCCCTCTCTGCCTGCTGCTCCTCCTGCTTGTGCTCGCTCTCTCTCTCTCTCTCTGACAAATAAATAAGTAAAATCTTAAAAAAAAAAAAGTTTCACAGCATATTCTTTTGATGAGGCCTGGGCAATGAGGAAATGAGCTGTTATGCGTTGCTGGTGGAAATGCAAAATGACCCATCCCCAGTGGAAGGGCATCTGGCCATGCCTGCCAAAACTATGCAGGGGTCGGCCCTTCAACTCCGCCATCTAACCCATAGTAATTACCCTGGAGCTCTCTGTCCATCCACGCAAAAGGACACAGACGCATGCTAATCCATGTCATTACCCGGAACTACAAAACCCTTGGAATGACCTACAAGAACTTACATAGAGGATTAGTGGGATAGACTGGGAAACATCACGGAGTAGAGGACTGTGTCACTGTGAAATGAGAATGAGCAAGGTCCCTGGGAACTGGAGTGGAGTTCAATGATAGTTCCAGACTCTGTCACTCGGTTTAAAAAAAAAAAAAGTAACGCTCAAAAGAGTATACAGGATGCTAGCTTTTAAGCAAATAAATAAGTAAAATAAAATACAAATGGGCATCTGCTTATTTTTGCAAAAAGAGACACAGTAAGGACAGCAAACGAATGAGGCTGGTCACCTACAGGAGTTGGAAGGGAAGGGAGGGAGGAACACTCCTAGGAAGGGAGCGGCGCTCCTCCGATTACATATTTTTGCATGATTTGGACCCTTGGGAGAATGCTCATCGTTTATACATTTGGAAGCTAAGATCAACAAGGATGGGGACAGAAAGCCTAAAGTTGGATACAAACAAAAATAAACATAACTAACTTCCTATCAAATGATGGCACCACCCCAGGAAGGGGTAAAAGTAGCCTAGTAACTCTTGGATACAGTACTTTGATTACATTTCACTCTAAAGACAAAAGATCCGCAAAGAAACCTTGAACCTCACTTCTTTCTGGAGGAGTAGCTTAGAGGCAGCAGCCCTTAAGCAGTTGTAGGGCTGAGCACATTTGCAAATATACTGATATTTAGGGAGCTGGATTCTGGTGCCAAAAAAGGGAAGGCACAGATCAGAATGGCGCAAGATGAAGGAAACCCCGGGTGTCAGTAGCAATGAGCATACTTAGCGCCCAGTCTCTAACAGCATTCCCCACTAAATAAGAAGCAAGGGCTTCCAGAAGAAATCGCTCATTTGAAGCCTGGGGGAGAGGCAGTAAAATTGTACTTGGGCCACAGAGGAAGGAAAAACTCTAAAAATGAGAGGGACACGTCAGAAGAGACTGCAGGGACTAGTTTGAAAGGGGATCCCTGATCCAACTAGGGACAAGTGGAAGAACAAAAATAATAATGGAAGTGAGGCCCGTACCGGGGTACCTGCGTGGCTCGATTTTGGCTCAGGTCATGATCCCAGGGCTGTGGGATTGAGCCCCCCAGGATGGGCCCCAGGCTCAGCGGGGAGTCTGCTTTTCTCCCTCTCCCTCTGCCCATCCCACTCAGTGTGGATGCTCACGTTTGCACCACACTGTCTAAAACAAATCAATAGTGGCTCAGCAGGCTAAGTGGCTGCTTCTGGCTCAGGTCATGAGCCCAGGCTCCTGGGGTCAAGCCCCACATTGGGTTCTCTGCTCAGCAGGGAGCCTTCTTCTCCCTCTGCCTGGTGCTCCCCCGCTTGTGTGCGCTCTCTCTCTCTCTCTCTCTCTCTGGAAAATTAATAAATAAAATCTTAAAAAAAGAAAAGAAACTGCATAGAACATGCTGAATTTACAAAACACCATTTCGCAACCCTACAAGTAATCTTAGGATCCTAGCCAGCATCGTCAGTGGCTTTAAATCACATTAAATCTGTCTGTACGCCCGACAGAAACTTCCCCTGGAATATCTATTAATTATAAAGAGATTTTCTTTTAAACTCCCTTTATCACAAAGGAACCTAACATCCCATCTCAGGCAAGCGACTAAAACTAACGCCACCAAAAGCGGGGCAAACAGACACTGTTCACTCCTGATGCGAGCCTACCATGACTACATTTACGTAGGATTCCTGCTGAAAATGTGTAACCCGAATCCATTCCTAAGAAAACCACGGGCATTCTACTAGACGACTGGCTGCTCTCTTCAAAAAAAAAAGCCAACATCAAAGATATTTCTTTTTTAAAAAGGCACAGGCGCTCCACAAAAGATCAAAGGCCACAAAAGAGACAGGACAAAGACATACAAAGCATGATCCTAGATCGGATACTGAATGGGGGGAAAATGACTCTAAGAGACAACACTGGGATAATTGGTGAAATCTGAGTATGGACTGTGCTTTAGCTATAAGATTGGACAAATGTCAAAATTCCTGAATTTGATTATTACATCATGGTGAGAAGAGGGAATACACTTGTTTTTAGGAGATACTTGCTGAAGTATTCAGGAGTGAGGTGTTTGCAACTTATGTTCCAGTGTGGTTCATAAACTTATGTCTGTAAATATCTCAGATACGATATATACACTTACAGATACATAGAGAAAGAGAGAGAAAGCAAATGTGGCAAAATATTAAAATTTGGTCCAGATGAAGGGTATATGAGAGTTCACTGTTTTATTTTTGCAACTTTTCTGTAGGCTTAAAATTTTCCCCCCAAATTTCAGTAGAATGGGGGAGGGTTTTACCTTCCCAAGGTACCAAAGCATTACCTGGCAAACCACATATTAACTGGAAAGAGGAAAATGTGCCTTATCAGTGAACAGCCCCGATGGTCACCACTTTTATCAAGGGTTCCGACGTGATCTAGTTTCCACCTGACAGTCTTTGTCACCTGAAGGGCTGGGATATAAGGAACAGGCACCAGCTCTGCCTCTGTTTGCTTGCCAAACCTGTTTAACCCAAACCTA